GAAGGACCCATTTTTCATGCTATCATTACTTATTCCTGGTGAATCACAACCAGGAATTGATATTGATGTCTACATGAGACCTTTAGTGGAAGAATTGAATGAATTATGGAAAAATGGTACATTAACCTATGATGCCTCGACTGGTGAGACTTTCTGCATGCGTGCAGCTTTGCTGTGGACGATACATGATTGGCCCGCATTTGGTGACATTTCTGGATGGAGAACAAAGGGTCATTACTCTTGTTACACTTGCAATGATGAACCATATTTTGAATCTTTAAGAAGTAAGACTGCGTACAGTAACCATCGATGCTACTTGCCTGATGACCACCCAGAAAGGCGAAAGAGTAGAGCATATAATGGCAAGCATGAAAAACGGAAGAGATCTTTGGTGATACCGATAGAAAAGATTGAAGAACAATTGGGCAGCGTGACGGGTGTCACATATGGAAAACATCCAAACAAAGGAAAAGACCTCGTCAGAACCCAAATTGGACAAAGGTAAGCATCTTGTATGAGCTACCCGTATTGGAAGAAAAGGAGGCTTCGACACAACATTGATGCCATGCATGTGGAGAAGAACTTTAGTGAAAATGTTTTTGGAACGATGCTGGGAATTGATGGAAAGAACAAGGATACAGATAAGGCACGAATGGATTTAGAAGACATGAATATAAGGAAAGAATTGTGGCTGACAACAAATCCCGATGGATCATATGTGAAGCCGTGAGCCAGCTTCTCATTGACCCCTAAAGAGAGAGAGGGTTTCTTTGAATTCTTGAAATCAGTCAAGTATCCAGATGGGTACGCGGCAAACATTTCGAGATCAGTAAATGCAAAAAATGGTAGATTAATAGGATTGAAAAACCACGACTGCCATGTACTTATACAACGGATTCTTCCTATTGGGATGCGTGGTTACGTAGATAAAGAGATCAGTACAGCATTTTTTGAGTTAGGTAGCTTCTTCCAAGATCTATGCTCAAGGACACTGAAACGAAGTGAAATGGAGAAATTAGAGGAACGTAAAGTACTCATACTATGTAAGTTTGAAAAGATCTTTCCTCCAGCCTTCTTCCATGTGATGGTTCATTTGGCCATTCACTTGCCACGTGAGACTATTCTCGGAGGACCTGTGCAATATCGGTGGATGTACCCGATTGAAAGGTAATTTCTAAAATTGTACTTTCAAATGAAAGGTATAGATTATGTTGTGTGCCTAACCATACTCCTAATTGGTTATCTCTTCAAGGTTTCTCGGATCTTTGAAAAAGTTTGTCACCAATCGAGCTCGACCAGAAGGTTCTATTGCAGAGGCTTACATTGTCAAGGAGTGCATTACTTTTTGCTCAATGTATCTTGAAGGGATTGAAACCGTGCATAATCGAGATGCACGAAATGAAGATTATGGAGTCTGTCGTGAAGGTTTGATAATATTCACTGAAACTGCTCGTCCTATTGGCCAAATCAAAAAGCATGTTGAGATGCCACAGGAACTTCGTGATATTGCTCATTGGTTCTTATTATACAATAGCCCTGAGATAGAGAAGTATCTTCAGTACGTGTTTCTTATAATTATATATATTTTAACAATTATCATGTTATTAGTCATTAATAATAGTAGTATTTCACACATTAACGAAAACTATTTGAATAGGGAACACAAGAATTTGTTACAAATTCCCAGTGGACAAGATATAACTCAGATACAATAGAAGGAATTTCCAAAGTGGTTCAAAGAATATGTAAGTCATTTTTAATATTCACAATTGGCCAAACACTATTAGGCTTGTATAAAATACAAACATTACTAACATAATTCAAGTGTTGCACATTGCATGTGGATGTAGATAAATAGATTGAGAGTTGATGAGGCACCAGAAGCGACCGAAGAATTGTGGTCCTTAGCGAATGGTCCTAATTTGCTAGTGAAAGAGTACTCGGGTTGTATAATCAATGGTGTCAGATTCCACACGAAGGAATTAGACAATCGTCGTAAGAGTCAAAACAGTGGTGTGCTTACCGAAGGGGACTACAAGGGAGAGATGCATGAATTCTACGGTCACTTGTACAATATATGGGAATTTGAGTACATGTGCCAAAATAAAGTTGTTTTGTTTCAATGTGAATGGTACAACACCGGTAACACCGGTAGAAGTAGAACAGTACGAGCTGACACTTATTGCACAAGCATCGATGTCACAAGCCGATGGTATCAATCTGACCCTTTTATCTTGCCTAGTCAAGCTAAGCTAGTGTTCTACCTGAATGACACCAAATGGGGGCAACCTTGGCAAGTCGTGCAACGGGTCCAACATAGAGGTGTGTTTGATGTGCCAGAGGTTGGTGATGGAGAACCACCAGATCAACCAGAATTTAATGATGCATTCCAACAAGAAAACATTAACTCAGTTGTCCCGATCAACATTGAAGATATTATTCGATTTCATAGGGATGATATTGAAGCTGAGGTTATTTCAAATAAAACAAAGAGAGATGGTAGAGATGAAGAAGAAGATGAAGAACTTGGTGTACTTGATGATGATATGGATCTTGATATGGAACCTGATATGGATTATGATATGTAGTTTTTGTTGTTTTTAGGTTTCTATATAGACATATGTTTTTAATGCATTACATGGTTATGATATATTTTGTTGCGTCTCTTCAAGTGAAATTATGCTTTATATTTCATGTTTGATATAAATTTATGCTTTTTAGTTAACCAAATGGCCAAAGGGGAGAAACAATGGATCAAACCAGGTTTTCTAGCGAAACAGAAGCGAACAGAGTACGAAATGGAAAGATATAAGACAATCAAGAAGAATAAGAAGAAAATGGATGCTCTACAATTGAAGCGTATAGCAACTTCTTTGATGGGTTCTACTCAGCCCAATCGTGTTCATCAAAAGGGAAAGAAAATTAGGGTAGATGATGATGACTACATACCGTCAGATCATGAGGATGACACTGATGCTGAGTCCTTTGAAAGTGCTGACGATGAGGTACTATATGTATGGCCATTCATTTTTTTTTATTATGTCACCGATAGTTATATATTTGTTAACGATGCTTTGTTAATACTATCTTTATATTTCCGTATACTTTATTGGATGAATAAGTCATAAAATAAAACTAGAAAATATACATCCTACATACAACAATATGCATACCAAAACAAACTGTAGGAGTAAGTTAGCTGGAACACAAATGTATAACGAAATAAGACATAATTTGACCATGTTGGAAACACCAGATTGACAACTTGCAAAGCACACAATTAGGAAAAACCAATTAAAGATATTAGCACTACTGGTAGCTCACAACCACTCAACCACTCAACTTGCCTACAGGTTTTTGAGTGACAACACCCTTTACCTGACCATTTTAAAAATATTCAAAGCAACCACTTGTCAGGACCAGTCTTGGGAAGAAAAGGAGTGGACGAGATCAGATTACAAATATCAACAGTGGCCTTGATGGGTTTCCATATACATATCTTTACTTATCCATTTTTATGTATTTATTGTTTATGCTTTTGTATTATGTTTTTTAGGGCTTACCAATGCCACCAAAACGATTGGCGCAGTCATCTCTTCAACCTTCGCACGAGGCAATTGTTGTTCCAAATGGGGATTTACATGACAATGTGGATACCCAACACTCACAGCCACTTGATGTCGATATGGAGGCACCGAGGGAGGCAGCCCCCCAATCTAGTGTCGGTAACATACTGAATTTTACTAAGCTAAACAAATTCTCTGTTTGAATATAATTCTATGGTGCAAAAAATTTCAAGCAATTTGTTTCATAGGGATTGATTTTTTATTTTTTATTTTAGTTTTGGTCTCACTTGTAATTTTTTGTCATATAACACACAAAGTTAACATCTCTATTGGAGATGCTCTTAGTTTTCAAGCATTCCTAGTTCTTTGAACAAAAACATTGAAGAAGGAGAAATTATTTGGGAACTTGGTAATCATTTGCCTACATAGGAAATTTAGAAGTACAACCATTGAGCTAATTTCAAGAAAAACTGTCTTTTTTAGGTGAATAAGTCATAAATTAAGACAATGAAATATATAACATATATAAGGGGTATACCTCAGGCCCTAATAACAACTGGACAAAGACTAAAACGCTGCTAAAAAAAATAAAAAGCCTAAACCCTAGAACATGACCAAATCAAACCCCATACAGACAAAGAGGGGCCATAAAATAAGGAAATATAGACAGCAAAAAAAAATAAAAACAAACAATTTAGGAGGAGCATCCGAAAACTCCAACAAATAACCAACTGTACAAGACAAAAATAAACAACATTCTAGATGTAGCAAAATTTTCCAATAGAAAAGGCAGTAATACCAATAGTAACAGTAGTAGCCAATAGCAACCAGATACACCAACTACGGCAACATCAACCAACTACATGGCTCCATCAGGATTTGCAGATCCAACCAATCAAACAGTAGCAATATGTATAGCAGTAACAAATAGCTCACTATAATAGTCCCAGATTTTAGACCATAGCACAGTTGCATCATGCCCTACAGTATAGCTCAGCTAAAGGTGCATAGAACCCCAATAATAGCAGTAGGTATACTAGAACCAACCACTGCCCAGTTTCAGCAAACCCAAGCAGCAGATACACCAACTCAAACATAGGATTACATATGTTCAACCACCACATAACGAGAGCTATGGGGGTGTTAAACACATGAGAGACCCATTTTAAGTAGTATAACAACCATCAGTTAGGACCAAAAGGAAAGAACAAAATACGTTGAGAACAAACACACAGTATAGTCCTTAGCCACTCAATCCACACTCTCAAATCACACATAAAACACTCAAGAAAATATATGCTCACATTCATCTCAACCCACCAAACAAAAAATTTCCTCATAATATGTATCAGCTTGCCAATTTGTATAACAAACATTAGAAAAAAAAACTTGTCAGGACCAGTCTTGGGAAGAAAAGGAGTGGACTGGATCAGATTACAAATATCAACAGTGGCCTTGATGGGTTTCCATATACATATCTTTACTTATCCATTTTTATGTATTTATTGTTTATGCTTTTGTATTATGTTTTTTAGGGCTTACCAATGCCACCAAAACGATTGGCGCAGTCATCTCTTCAACCTTCGCACGAGGCAATTGTTGTTCCAAATGGGGATTTACATGACAATGTGGATACCCAACACTCACAGCCACTTGATGTCGATATGGAGGCACCGAGGGAGGCAGCCCCCCAATCTAGTGTCGGTAAGATACTGAATTTTACTAAGCTAAACAAATTCTCTGTTTTAATATAATTCTATGGTGCAAAAAATTTCAAGCAATTTGTTTCATAGGGATTGATTTTTTATTTTTTATTTTAGTTTTGGTCTCACTTGTAATTTTTTGTCATATAACACACAAAGTTAACATCTCTATTGGAGATGCTCTTAGTTTTCAAGCATTCCTAGTTCTTTGAACAAAAACATTGAAGAAGGAGAAATTATTTGGGAACTTGGTAATCATTTGCCTAAATAGCTCACTATAATAGTCCCAGATTTTAGACCATAGCACAGTTGCATCATGCCCTACAGTATAGCTCAGCTAAAGGTGCATAGAACCCCAATAATAGCAGTAGGTATACTAGAACCAACCACTGCCCAGTTTCAGCAAACCCAAGCAGCAGATACACCAACTCAAACATAGGATTACATATGTTCAACCACCACATAACGAGAGCTATGGGGGTGTTAAACACATGAGAGACCCATTTTAAGTAGTATAACAACCATCAGTTAGGACCAAAAGGAAAGAACAAAATACGTTGAGAACAAACACAGAGTATAGTCCTTAGCCACTCAATCCACACTCTCAAATCACACATAAAACACTCAAGAAAATATATGCTCACATTCATCTCAACCCAACAAACAAAACATTTCCTCATAATATGTATCAGCTTGCCAATTTGTATAACAAACATTAGAAAAAAAAATATTTATATGCTCAACATCACTCAACAAAAACTTATTGTATCACATTAAAGCCATGTGGGCAAGCACTTCACCTTAATAGAACCTTATTTTTTAATTACTTTGTTGTTGTCTTCGTGCTTCCTAGATTGCTATTCAAAGGACAAAAACAAAGCCTCATTTTTCTTTTTCCTTTTTTCTTATTCAAATTCTCGATCATCTAAGCAAAGAATTTTGAGTGTTCACATCATCTCAAATCAACCTAAAAGAAAGAGAACACATTAAAGGCAAAACAACTATGTTTAAGATTTGTACGAGTTAAATGGCACAAATTCCTAACATAGGAAGTACAAAAAAAATTATTATTACAGTAGAAAATTCCCACAATTACATTATTAATATATCTCAAAATTCTATGAAATAAATACGTTACTTATGTATCTAACCAGCAAGAGTAGTAGCTCCGTTTTTCATCTAAAAACTTTACTGCAGAAAAAAGCTCAATTTTTTTTTATTCCTCAAATCAACAACTTATTTTTTCTAGCAAATATCTCTATTACTTGTTCCATCAAAATCCTATTTTCCTAGCTTCATTTGGGCTCATTAAATTTTGGGCAAATCTCTATTATTTTGGTTATGGTCTATGGTTATGTCTGTAGCAGTGTTTGGAAATTCATGAGAAATGAGTAAAATAATTTTAGTATAAAGAAGAACAAATATAGACCACAATTGAGAAGAATTAAACCAAAACAAACTAAAATTGTGAGAAAAAAGTATCGTAATTCATGTAAAAAATGATAAAAGCAAGCATTAAATCAAGCTAGAACATGAAGATTGATCATTCCAATGCATCAGAGATGACTTGACAACTGTGTTGAACTTTGAGTCTACAATTAAATCATTTCTCAGTATATATATATATATATATATAGACACACATGCATATATACATATTTTCAAATTCAAAACCACAAAACTAACACACAACAATAACCATGCAAATTAGAAGAGTTGCTTGAACCCCAAATGTTACTTTTTCCACCCTTTAGGACCCACATGTTTCTGAGTTTTTTTTTTTGGGGTGCATCTGGTGAATTTTAATCATGTTTATGTATGTGAAAGAAATCAAACTGTTACTGCAATTATCTTGATTCTTATTGTATCTAGCATTAGCAATATCTGGACTCTTGGACTGTTTGATATTATTGTCGTCTTGATTGGCTCAAGTGAACTTGACAGAGTTTTATCTCAACTACTTGGGTTTGTCTTGATGGCTATCTTTTATTATTCATTTTCAGGCTAGAAGTAGAACTATTGATTTATGGCTTACGCATTGTATAAGGTTTGAAATTCAGATGAGCCATATGCCTATGAAACATGAATGCACCCTACAGTTAATGATAGTTGTAGATATCCTGTCAAGGCTTGAGGTTCTGTGAAGCTTGTTTACAGGCTGCCATTGGAATGGATGTTGTTTAATTATATTGTTTACAGGTTTTCAGCAGCTATGTTGCTATTGGAATGGAAATGTAATGTCTATATTTTTTTTGTTATTTAATTATTTAAATCCGTGATCCTAAACCGATCCAATCCGTGTTTCAACGAATTGGTTTGGATTAGTTCCACAATTTAAACGGATTGGATTGGTTTTAATTTTTCAGGAACCGTAGATAACGGATTGGTCCTGGTTTTCTCCCAATCCGAACCAATCCGGTCCATGCTCACCCCTAGTTTTGGGGCCAGTCTTGCTGTTTATGAGCTTGATGAACTTCCTAATGGACGACAACTGGAAAGAGAGTTGTTGTCATTAGGATGTCGACCTAGCGTACCCGCTGTGTTCATAGGGGGGGAGTTGGTTGGTGGTTCTAATGAGGTCATGAGCCTCCATATCCGGGGCAACCTAGTCCAATTGCTCAAAAAAGCTAAAGCTATATTTATATAGGATGCCAAACTAGTAGCTATTTTTGCTTTTGTAGCGAATGAGAATACACCTACTTAACCATGAGCCTCTTTTTTTATGTGGAGAGGTTTGATGAGAAGTACTAATTGTGTTTTTAAGGTGTATTTTCTTTTTGTTGTACTAAATCATTATTGTCATACTTAGTTTATTTACAGCTACTGTGTCTTGAACATAATATTTCTCCATTTTATGTATTTTCCATCTGCATAAATGGAAATTTTAAGAGATGAGCAAAAGGTAAACTACGTACCTAAGAAGCACATTATCTTTAATGCAAACTTAGCAATCTTTTTCTTGTATTTGTATTTGTGTATCTTTTTATTGATTCACTTTCACAAGATTTTGGAGTGCATCCTATATATACATAATGTGAAACTACATCAGCATCAAAGTTCAATTACTGTAACAGAAGTTTGAATAGATGGCTCACCAGGCCTTAAAAGACTGACAAATTTTTCCATATCCCTGTAGTCCTACTGCCATGAGGGTTGTTTGTAGCTAATCCTATCTCCATCCCACCCACCATCAGGCTCCTTTCTCCTCAAAACCCCGCTTGCCATCTGATACAGTTTTATTTGCTCATCTGCTGAGGCTTGAGAACCAGGAACAGGGAGCTGCCTCAAAGCTGAAGGCAACCTCTCATCTCTACGTACCTAAGAAGCACATTATCTTTAATGCAAACTTAGCAATCTTTTTCTTGTATTTGTATTTGTGTATCTTTTTATTGATTCACTTTCACAAGATTTTGGAGTGCATCCTATATATACATAATGTGAAACTACATCAGCATCAAAGTTCAATTACTGTAACAGAAGTTTGAATAGATGGCTCACCAGGCCTTAAAAGACTGACAAATTTTTCCATATCCCTGTAGTCCTACTGCCATGAGGGTTGTTTGTAGCTAATCCTATCTCCATCCCACCCACCATCAGGCTCCTTTCTCCTCAAAACCCCGCTTGCCATCTGATACAGTTTTATTTGCTCATCTGCTGAGGCTTGAGAACCAGGAACAGGGAGCTGCCTCAAAGCTGAAGGCAACCTCTCATCTCTACGTACCTAAGAAGCACATTATCTTTAATGCAAACTTAGCAATCTTTTTCTTGTATTTGTATTTGTGTATCTTTTTATTGATTCACTTTCACAAGATTTTGGAGTGCATCCTATATATACATAATGTGAAACTACATCAGCATCAAAGTTCAATTACTGTAACAGAAGTTTGAATAGATGGCTCACCAGGCCTTAAAAGACTGACAAATTTTTCCATATCCCTGTAGTCCTACTGCCATGAGGGTTGTTTGTAGCTAATCCTATCTCCATCCCACCCACCATCAGGCTCCTTTCTCCTCAAAACCCCGCTTGCCATCTGATACAGTTTTATTTGCTCATCTGCTGAGGCTTGAGAACCAGGAACAGGGAGCTGCCTCAAAGCTGAAGGCAACCTCTCATCTCTACGTACCTAAGAAGCACATTATCTTTAATGCAAACTTAGCAATCTTTTTCTTGTATTTGTATTTGTGTATCTTTTTATTGATTCACTTTCACAAGATTTTGGAGTGCATCCTATATATACATAATGTGAAACTACATCAGCATCAAAGTTCAATTACTGTAACAGAAGTTTGAATAGATGGCTCACCAGGCCTTAAAAGACTGACAAATTTTTCCATATCCCTGTAGTCCTACTGCCATGAGGGTTGTTTGTAGCTAATCCTATCTCCATCCCACCCACCATCAGGCTCCTTTCTCCTCAAAACCCCGCTTGCCATCTGATACAGTTTTATTTGCTCATCTGCTGAGGCTTGAGAACCAGGAACAGGGAGCTGCCTCAAAGCTGAAGGCAACCTCTCATCTCTACGTACCTAAGAAGCACATTATCTTTAATGCAAACTTAGCAATCTTTTTCTTGTATTTGTATTTGTGTATCTTTTTATTGATTCACTTTCACAAGATTTTGGAGTGCATCCTATATATACATAATGTGAAACTACATCAGCATCAAAGTTCAATTACTGTAACAGAAGTTTGAATAGATGGCTCACCAGGCCTTAAAAGACTGACAAATTTTTCCATATCCCTGTAGTCCTACTGCCATGAGGGTTGTTTGTAGCTAATCCTATCTCCATCCCACCCACCATCAGGCTCCTTTCTCCTCAAAACCCCGCTTGCCATCTGATACAGTTTTATTTGCTCATCTGCTGAGGCTTGAGAACCAGGAACAGGGAGCTGCCTCAAAGCTGAAGGCAACCTCTCATCTCTACGTACCTAAGAAGCACATTATCTTTAATGCAAACTTAGCAATCTTTTTCTTGTATTTGTATTTGTGTATCTTTTTATTGATTCACTTTCACAAGATTTTGGAGTGCATCCTATATATACATAATGTGAAACTACATCAGCATCAAAGTTCAATTACTGTAACAGAAGTTTGAATAGATGGCTCACCAGGCCTTAAAAGACTGACAAATTTTTCCATATCCCTGTAGTCCTACTGCCATGAGGGTTGTTTGTAGCTAATCCTATCTCCATCCCACCCACCATCAGGCTCCTTTCTCCTCAAAACCCCGCTTGCCATCTGATACAGTTTTATTTGCTCATCTGCTGAGGCTTGAGAACCAGGAACAGGGAGCTGCCTCAAAGCTGAAGGCAACCTCTCATCTCTACGTACCTAAGAAGCACATTATCTTTAATGCAAACTTAGCAATCTTTTTCTTGTATTTGTATTTGTGTATCTTTTTATTGATTCACTTTCACAAGATTTTGGAGTGCATCCTATATATACATAATGTGAAACTACATCAGCATCAAAGTTCAATTACTGTAACAGAAGTTTGAATAGATGGCTCACCAGGCCTTAAAAGACTGACAAATTTTTCCATATCCCTGTAGTCCTACTGCCATGAGGGTTGTTTGTAGCTAATCCTATCTCCATCCCACCCACCATCAGGCTCCTTTCTCCTCAAAACCCCGCTTGCCATCTGATACAGTTTTATTTGCTCATCTGCTGAGGCTTGAGAACCAGGAACAGGGAGCTGCCTCAAAGCTGAAGGCAACCTCTCATCTCTACGTACCTAAGAAGCACATTATCTTTAATGCAAACTTAGCAATCTTTTTCTTGTATTTGTATTTGTGTATCTTTTTATTGATTCACTTTCACAAGATTTTGGAGTGCATCCTATATATACATAATGTGAAACTACATCAGCATCAAAGTTCAATTACTGTAACAGAAGTTTGAATAGATGGCTCACCAGGCCTTAAAAGACTGACAAATTTTTCCATATCCCTGTAGTCCTACTGCCATGAGGGTTGTTTGTAGCTAATCCTATCTCCATCCCACCCACCATCAGGCTCCTTTCTCCTCAAAACCCCGCTTGCCATCTGATACAGTTTTATTTGCTCATCTGCTGAGGCTTGAGAACCAGGAACAGGGAGCTGCCTCAAAGCTGAAGGCAACCTCTCATCTCTACGTACCTAAGAAGCACATTATCTTTAATGCAAACTTAGCAATCTTTTTCTTGTATTTGTATTTGTGTATCTTTTTATTGATTCACTTTCACAAGATTTTGGAGTGCATCCTATATATACATAATGTGAAACTACATCAGCATCAAAGTTCAATTACTGTAACAGAAGTTTGAATAGATGGCTCACCAGGCCTTAAAAGACTGACAAATTTTTCCATATCCCTGTAGTCCTACTGCCATGAGGGTTGTTTGTAGCTAATCCTATCTCCATCCCACCCACCATCAGGCTCCTTTCTCCTCAAAACCCCGCTTGCCATCTGATACAGTTTTATTTGCTCACTTCTTTAATTTTTTTTTTTTTTTAAAGATGATTCTACTACCATCATTCTTATTTAACTTACTAGTTGAACAAAAAAATCAGACAATTGCAAATGGGGGCCAACTGCCAGAGTTGCCATGTGTTTACAAATCTACACACTTTAATGATGTCACAAAGCAGTGGATTTCTCCGGAGTGCGAAGAGAATTATGTATGTATATTTACCTTTTGTATTAGGATGATTGCAATTTTAATTGTTTCTTTATTCATTTTTCTAATTTTTTTTTTAAATGACAGAATAATATGATAAAGATCCAAGCTGAACATTGCTCCCGACCTGGTGTGGTTCCAATTACTCCGGAGGAGCTATCTGTGAAGGTGCTAAAGCCAAGGTCGGGATATGCTAAAGGACTCGGGTTGAGGCGTTCCTTCTCTGTCAGGAATACCAGTGCTTCGACTGACAGTGACTATGTGAGGCGTCTAGAGATGGAAATACAAGAGCAAAAGGAGCAAATTCAGTCACAAAAAGAGGAAATTCAGTCACAAAAAGAGGAAATTCAGTCACATAAAGAGGAAATTACAGCACAGAAACATGAAATTCAAGTACAAAGAGAGGAAATTCAAGCACAAAATAAAGAGATAGGGAAGATGAATGGGTCGATTGACGAGCATTTTGAGATCACATCAAGCATCATGGAGTTTCTTAAGAAGCAAGGTTTCAAAGGACAATTTAGAGGATGAGGTATCCCATGCACTCGTACATCGCCTTTTTGGTAAGTCTCGCTCGCTTTATCATTTTATTTTTCTCATGTTGGTTAGTATATACTAGTTAAAGTACAATAGTTTGACTACTTATTAACTAAGATTTAACAAGTTTGAAGATGTATTTAATGAAAATAGATTCATTATCAAAATTCTTACTTAGCATGACTCTAGTTAAAATACACACGAACCAAAGTAGAGACAAAACTAAGTCAGATAATAGCCTGCTGTTAGGTGTGTTTCTATCTGTGGATGTTGGTATCTGTGTAGCCTAAGTCACAAGTATCTATATGCTCTGCTGTTGGTATCTGTATGCTCTGCTGTTGGTATCATTCTGCTTTGCTGGTTGTATGTCTATGCTGTGTGAGTGGACAGATCTGCTGGGCAGCTGGTCTGGGTAATTTTGCTTCAATTTTGCTTCAGTTTTGGATGTGAATCTAATTGTAGGCCTGGTGATGTATATTTTCTATATACCTTTGCTGGGATGGGTAGCTTGCTGTGTGCGTTTTATCCTGCTGTCTGTTGTGTTTTTTGTGTTCTTGTTGGTCTGTCACCAACAGTTTGGTTTTGGTGCTGTGCATCATCCCCCTCTCCCCTGTCCTTTCTTGTCCCCTTTATTGATGTATTTTCTTCTTCTTGTAAGGTTCTTTCATCAATAAAGTTTTTGTTAAAAAAAAAAAAAAAAGGAAGCAATCAATGTTAAAACAAAATAATACGTATAGCAGTGTGTATTATTTTCTAAATTTAGAAGGGGGCTGTTTTTAGGTTTTGTGCGTGGCCTTTTAATGCTAATGTTAAAAATAATAAGCTTATTATCTACATCCATTTTGGTCATTGCTGTCACAACTCACCCAGCTAATGGTCCAGTTTTCCATTTTTTGCATTGTAGGTTGTTGCTCTCTCTCTCTCTCTCTCTCTTCAAAATTTTTTTAAATCCCATTTGTGCAGCAGCCACAATATTTGTTCCTTCCCATTCTCATTGACTGCATGCTTTGGTTCTTACCATGAGATGTTGTAGTGTTATAACTGGTTTGGCTGCTGTCCGTGGGTCACAGCCAGTTTTTGATCCGAGCATAATTCTAGGGATACAGTGAATTGCCATGTTAAGGTGATCATTGCAAAGCCCATGGGTGGGAATGAGCATGGTATTCATCTTTTTAGTTAATCTCTGTTAATTTCTATTCAAATAACTTCAAGCTTGTGATCTTGAGAACAGTTCTGTATATTTGTTAAGTTTCTGATATTTGGCTTTAAGTTTATAATAAAACTTTGCTATTATAATAAAATTTATATATATACATTCTATGCTAATGTTTGCCTTGTTTATTTTTTTTGTAGGTTGGTTTTGATGACGTTCGGAAGCATACTTGCAAATGAAGATCAACTGTTGAATTTTTTTCCTAAACTGATGCTTAGTTGTAGTTGCAAATTAAGATTGAGTGTTGATTTTTTTTCGTGGACTCCACGTTAGTTTATTTTGGGATTTACTTTGATGGTTTTTTTGTGATACTTAATGGATTATTATTAAGGTTGTTTGATGGATATATTTTGATTTATAAAATAAATTATTTAGTGAATTTTTTTGTGGAGTGCTGTATAATAGCTACTGAATTTCTTAGTACAATTAAAAAGCTATTGGGATATGAGCAGGGATATTTGTGAAATAATAATTTAAATTGAATATAAAATGTGGAACAAGTTTAGTGATGAATTTGTTTCGTCATTTGTATTTGTTATTATGACAAAGTGATTATTCGTCACCAATAAACTTTTTTTGTGACAAAATTTACTGCAGTTTATATATGAAATTTTTTATTTATTTTGTTGTTTGGTGACTAAAAATTTCGTCACGTATATATATATTTGTGACGAAATATATTTCGTCACCTTTATGACTTTTGAAGACGAAAAATTACGTCACCTTTACATCTTATTGTGACAAAATTATTTCCTCATCAATGATCAACATACGTGACAAATTTATTCGTCAACTAAAGTTATAAATATGGTACTGAATAACTAATTGGTGACGAAAATGAGAATTTTTGGCGACAAAATATTGTTTTATTGGTGACAAAATTATGACTTTTGAAGACGAAAAATTTCGTCACCTTTACATCTTATTGTGACGAAATTATTTCCTCATCAATGATCAACATGCGTGACAAATTTATTCATCAACTAAAGTTATAAATATGGTATTGAAAAACTATTTGGTGACGAAAATGAGAATTTTTAGCGACAAAATATTGTTTTATTGGTGACAAAATTATGACTTTTGAAGACGAAAAATTTCGTCACCTTTACATCTTATTGTGACGAAATTATTTCCTCATCAATGATCAACATGCGTGACAAATTTATTCATCAACTAAAGTTATAAATATGGTACTGAATAACTATTTGGTGACGAAAATGAGAATTTTTTTTAGGGTTTTTTGAACTAATTATTGGTGTGATAGATGAGATGATTTATTCTGTGAAATGATTTAGGGTTTTTGAATTTCAAGTTGAAGATATATTGAACAAACAAAATGGATTGTAGTTTTAATTATACACAATTTTCTGTCGATTCTTAATATTAACTCCAATACTAATTTAACAATGATTTTTTCTCATTGCTAAAATTGTAGTTCTATTTCACTGCTCCTAATGTTTGTCTATTTCATCAAGCGTTTTGTCCAAATCATTCATCAAGACACATCGGGGATTGGTATGTATATATATATATATGAAAGAACATATACGTGAAATGAAAACAAACACATTCATTAACAACTCATAATGTATGTTATTAAGTAGCTTAAACAATTGAAGAGCCCTTATTCAATGGTCATCATTCAGTACAAATCAGTTTGCTTACAAAGATAGTCACACTTATACAATAAACTATTGGATGGATAAAAGCAAACATTAAAAAATGACATCTAACCTTTCCTGCCCTTTAGAGGAAAGTGAACAATGTAGAGCAAACCACATGTAAGTCACAGTCAGGTAAACTGTGTCTACGAAAATTAGGCCCAGCACAGCACCGGATGATAACAGAGTCAACCAAGTAAAGATGCGGACATGGGGCATCGTTTCAAGAACACAGGCTTGGGAACATGCCAGGACAGTTGCGATTAAGGATATGAACAAGGTAAGCATAGCAGAAAGAAATCTAAATGGCAAAGCCATGTAGAAATCACTGCTACGAAACCGCGACAATTGAATTGAAAGCATCATTATCAAAGCGAATAGAGAACAAATCAGAGTCAAAGTAATGTACGCATTGAAGACGTTAAGCTCATGTCCATGTTTATTTTTAAGAACTGGAAGACCAGTTTCTCCATCGAAAGCTCCAGGGATAGTAAAAAGTGCTGTGTAGCTGACGGTGCCAATGAGGGCAGAAACCACCATTAGACTATTGTTCATATCTTTGAGTGCTTTCTCAGATTGGTCTTTTAGGTTTGAGTGATTTTCTTTAAATAGATCTCTCGGAGTCTTCCCATCATTGTTTTCATGATCTAGGAAATGTGCTAGGAAGCTGTGCTCATACAATACACGCTGCAAAAAAAATAAATATATATTTATATATTGAAGAAGAACCCCAATTGATTAAGTTTATGCATAGAGTAATGATAAAATAACCATATTTATATATCGCATTTTAATCATGTGATGTGATATCATTACATTGGTAATAGACTAAAAGTTATTTTTACAATGATAAAATAACCATATTTACATTACTAATTCAACCAATACAATTGTCACAAATGAGATGATCAACCCATTGTGGTATATAAATATGGTCATTGTAGCATTACTCTTATGCTCAAGGATGGAACTTGCATTGTAATTCGTTTACTTGAATTTTTGTATTATACATTTGATCAAATGTATTTTGATCAGTAGGGTGCTCGTGATTTTTACCTGAACTGATTGTTGTTCAGTTGCTCTCAATGGTTTTTCACATAAGTCATGATGTCTATCATCTTGATTTATTTAGTGTGTTACTGTGTGGAAGACTTTTGATCTATCTTGAGATTGAATAACTGTTAATAATCCACCTGGTAATTTTTAATTGGTAATTTGTTTTAAGAGTTTGGCCTATTCACTCCCCTCTAGGCACAAAGGTGTCTGTCTCCGCAATTTCATTATCCTACTAATTCATTTATATTGTTTTGCAGGAAGACAAGGAGAAACTTGAGAAGCAATTGCATGATATGGCAGTGGTGGTTGAGAGATTGGAGAGCAGCAGACAGAAACTGCTAATGAAGGTAACATCCTTTCCTACTATTTCAATTCATTCAATAACCTGGACTTGAAGTTTTCAGTTTGCTGCTTAATCTTGTTTATAGATTGATTCCCAATCTTCAGAGATAGACAGGGTTTTTGAGGAAAATTCTAATCTTTCATCTGCTTATCAAGAGGCAATGGGTGTAGTAGTGCACTGGGAGAATCAGGTACTTAGTGCTGGAGGTTTGACAGAATCTGGTTTTCAGATTTAGTAATCTGTTGACACCTTTTGTGGTTTCTTTCTCTCTCTGTTTTTTTCCCTTCTCCCTTATTGATGGATCTTTAGGCTGTCCCAAGGTAGTTTATGAATAACCTTGGACAGTGTAATTTGGTTTAATTATAGTGTTTGGATTGGCTGCATTACATTTTCATTTTAGAGATTGGACATAAAAAGTTGCTTCCCTAGGTGTTTAGCTTTCATTTCATTTAGGGTTCACAATGAAAGCTACCCTGGTCAAATGAACAAAGAAAGCAAAAAAATTCTTTATCCTTTGTGCATGCCTACAGCATTCATGGTTTTCAATTGTGATTTTACTTTTTTTTTTGGTAAAAATTTATGTTGACTAAGGACCATCAATTTAGCGCATAATTGAGCTCCTATTCCTCATATTTGAACCCTTGGACAAGTTGCATGAAAAATGAATTCATGCCTTGATGTATTTGTCCTGCTGGAGATTTGTGGTGAGGTGGAAGTTTAAGATATAGATGTAGGATCTCAATTATGTCAAAAGAGAACTTCATGAAGGGGGTGTCAGAAGTTTTAAGGACAAATATTTAATCAAATAATATATTGTTGTGTTTGAGAAGAGAGAATTTTACGTACAATGCTCTTTAGAGATTTTGGATTAAGCCTTTGATTCAAGGGAAAATAGTTAATCAGATGTGAAATAATACTGGCTGCACAATGAAGCCAGATATTGAACTACAATACTTGTATCTAAGACACCTATCTGCCTTTGCTTTAGGAGGAGCATCCGAAAACTCCAACAAATAACCAACTGTACAAGACAAAAATAAACAACATTCTAGCTGTAGCAAAATTTTCCAATAGAAAAGGCAGTAATACCAATAGTAACAGTAGTAGCCAATAGCAACCAGATACACCAACTACGGCAGCATCAACCAACTACATGGCTCCATCAGGATTTGCAGATCCAACCAATGAAACAGTAGCAATGTGTACAGCAGTAACAAATAGCTCACTATAATAGTCCCAGATTTTAGACCATAGCACAGTTGCATCATGCCCTATAGTATAGCTCAGCTAAAGGTGCATAGAACCCCAATAATAGCAGTAGGTATACTAGAACCAACCACTGCCCAGTTTCAGCAAACCCAAGCAGCAGATACACCAACTCAAACATAGGATTACATATGTTCAACCACCACATAACGAGAGCTATGGGGGTGTTAAACACATGAGAGACCCATTTTAAGTAGTATAACAACCATCAGTTAGGACCAAAAGGAAAGAACAAAATACGTTGAGAACAAACACAGTATAGTCCTTAGCCACTCAATCCACACTCTCAAATCACACATAAAACACTCAAGAAAATATATACTCACATTCATCTCAACCCACCAAACAAAAAATTTCCTCATAATATGTATCAGCTTGCCAATTTGTATAACAGACATTAGAAAAAAAAATATTTATATGCTCAACATCACTCAACCCACAAGTCTCACTAGCTCCACACAAGTTTTATTATTTAGGACGGTAGTTCCCTACCTTGCTAGGGTTAGGAACCTTTGATAAAGCTTCAGCTTCAGTTGATTATCTAGCTTCATCAACATCAGCTCAATTTTATCTATCTTCAGTTGATCATCTAGCTTCATCAACATCAGCTCAATTTTATCCATCTTCAGTTGATCATCTAGCTTCATCAACATCTATATCAGCTGTACCTACTACATTTGATGCCTTTGCTATATTTTCTACTGAAGCCGAATACAGGGCTATGGCTCTTGCAAGTGCTGAAGTTGCTTGGCTTCACATGCTTCTTAAAGATATGCATATATGCCATTCTTCTGTTCCTGTGCTTTGGTGTGAAAACTTGTCTGCTCTTTCTCTTGCTGCTAATCTTGTGTTTCATGCTCGAACAAAGCATATCAAGATCGATTATCATTTTGTGCGCGAAAAAGTTTCAGCTAAGCAACTTCTTATTCGTCATGTGTCTTCTTCTGATCAAGTGTCATATATTTTTACCAAATCTCTTCCTGTGTCTCGTTTTCTTTTTCTTCAATCCAAGCTTTTAGTTGGTCTCCCACCTTTCAGCTTGAAGGGGCTTGATAAAGCTTCAGCTTCAGTTGATCATCTAGCTTCATCAACATTAGCTCAAGTTCATCCAGCTTCAGTTGATCATCTAGCTTCATCAACATCTATATTAGCTGCATCTATATCAGCTGCACCTACTACATCTGATGCCTCTGCTATATCTTCAGCTACTGCAGGTGCATATAGGAGATCTGCTCACTCTGGTATGTATGATAGTTGCAAGTCAACTATTGGTGTTCATGATGAGAGACCAATACAAGCATCTAGTCTGTGTACATGAGATCATTTGTATATAACAAATCTACAACTGATTCTCAACAGATTCCAACTGATTCTCAATAGATTCTGTAACTGATCTGTAACAAACTGAGTTAGTTAATCTTAGTTAGTTAGTTAGAGCAAATCATATATGTGTGTATATAAATGAACTCGTGTAATGTTGATGTGGTGTGCAACTAATAATAAAGATATATCTTTGAAAGATTTCCTCTCTCTTTCTTCCTACTTTCATCAACCTTAAGGACCAAAACAATCAAGGTCCTGTTAGCCTCCTTAAGAAGTTCACCAGAAGTAAAAAAAAGATTTAATAGCCTCAACAATATTTTTACCCAAAACCTCCCAGGAACTCTTAAAGAAACTAGCCGGGTGGCCATCGGGCCCGGTGGCCATGTTCCCATTAAGACACATGAAAAACTGTCTTGCTTGAAAAACAACATGATAATGTGATTTCCTAAAAAATCCAAAGCTAAAATTTCAACCTTTGAGCTAATTTCATAACTGCAATAAAAATAAAAACTGCCTACCTAAATCAGGACTGCAGAAGAAAGCATTTTTAAGACCCTCTTTGTTAAGTTAGTTTGAGAAACAATGATTAAGTAGTCATGGCTGTCATTGAATTCCTTATTGAGAAAAACAAAGCTCTAGAATTTAAGAAAATAAAATAGTTCAATTAAACAAATCATGTTCCCTTTAAAATCTTTACTATAATCATGTTTTATGAGTTCACTAAGCAGATATATTGTGACTTACAATGGCATGAAAAAGTCTATCACTACAATTAAACAAAAACTTATTGTATCACATTAAAGCCATGTGGGCAAGCACTTCACCTTAATAGAACCTCATTTTTTAATTACTTTGTTGTTGTCTTCGTGCTTCCTAGATTGCTATTCAAAGGACAAAAACAAAGCCTCATTTTATTATTACAGTAGAAAATTCCCACAATTACATTATTAATATATCTCAAAATTCTATGAAATAAATACGTTACTTATCTATCTAACCAGCAAGAGTAGTAGCTCCGTTTTCCATCAAAAGAATTTACTGCAGAAAAAAGCTCAATTTCTTTTTATTCCTCAAATCAACAACTTATTTTTTCTAGCAAATATCTCTATTACTTGTTCCATCAAAATCCTATTTTCCTAGCTTCATTTGGGCTCATTAAATTTTGGGCAAATCTCTATTATTTTGGTTATGGTCTATGGTCATGTCTGTAGCAGTGTTTGGAAATTCATGAGAAATGAGTAAAATAATTTTAGTATAAAGAAGAACAAATATAGACCACAATTGAGTATTACGACTAAGCTAGGTAGTTGCTTCTTTCTCTATTTGGTTCCTACAAATTTGAAAAAACAACAAAAACAAAAATAAAAACAAAAACAGAAAAAATAACAGTGGTAGAGGATTGAAAGCAACAGATTATGGCTAGGAGTGGTAGAAATCCTTCCGGACGTTCTGGAAACCCAAAACAGGTTGTGATAAAGATGTGGCATCCAATCCATTGCCATTGTTGTTGCCATTGCAGGTTATGTTTAATGAAACAGATTGGTGATGGAAGGGTTATTCATGTTTTTGGCACAACTTGATGGTTAGGATAAATATTTTAGTTAGAGTTTGTGCAGTTAAGCATGGTAGTATTGGCTGACTTTGTTTTGATGGAATATGGATGCCCATTTCCCGACATCGAAACACATTGAACGGTTCGAATTATCGAAACGGGATCTGTGATGGGCCTCCTTGGCGCAAAATGGTCAGTCTAATCTTCCTCTGCTATAAGAGACCCAATTCCCATTTTCTGATTCAGATCTTAATTCCATTTACTTCACTGTAATTGATAGAGAAGATCTTTATGTTTGGTTGGTTAATTTTCCTTTTATTTCATCTAATTTGCTTTTGTCATCTCATACGTAACATTGAATTCCTGGTGTTATTATAATTTCAATTGTTGTTCTTGTTTTTTAGAAAATTCTGAATATACCCATTTACGTTTTGATTAATTGTAAGCTAAGCAGATGCACTAAGCAGATACATCGTTAGCTCCATTATTAATCTCATCCTTAGCTCAATTATCAGAATAATGCAAAATTAAGTAACTAAGTATAGATATACCCATTATTGGATAATTGAGACTCAATTATCAGAATAATGCAAAATTAAGTAACTAAGTATAGATATACCCATTATTGGATAATTGAGACTCAATTATCAGAATAATGCAAAATTAAGTAACTAAGTATAGATATACCCATTATTGGATAATTGAGACTCAATTATCAGAATAATGCAAAATTAAGTAACTAAGTATAGATATACCCATTATTGGATAATTGAGACTCAATTATCAGAATAATGCAAAATTAAGTAACTAAGTATAGATATACCCATTATTGGATAATTGAGACTCAATTATCAGAATAATGCAAAATTAAGTAACTAAGTATAGATATACCCATTATTGGATAATTGAGACTCAATTATCAGAATAATGCAAAATTAAGTAACTAAGTATAGATATACCCATTATTGGATAATTGAGACTCAATTATCAGAATAATGCAAAATTAAGTAACTAAGTATAGATATACCCATTATTGGATAATTGAGACTCAATTATCAGAATAATGCAAAATTAAGTAACTAAGTATAGATATACCCATTATTGGATAATTGAGACTCAATTATCAGATCTCTTGAATTGAGAGAGCAATTATTTCATTTAATATTTTGTTTCTTTTTCTCTAAGCAATGGCCCCTGCCTTAGGCTTCTAAGGATATATTTCATGTTTGTAAGGGCTAGGGTGTTCTTGCATTAGGGATAGGGGCATTCTCTGTAAGCAATGACCTGCACCTGCTCAGACACTTCAAAAAAATGGGCAAGGGGCATTGCGTCGGTGATCAGGTGTAATGAAAAATTGGGAAGGGTCCCTGCACTTTCCTAGACGACCGTGGGTAAAGAAGTTAGACCGGAGTTGTTGGTTTAAATTGGCAACTTGGTATGTTTGTACACTAACACGTAAGACTGGTATTAGTAGATACTATGATTAGAAGGAAAATTAATATAGCATGTTTACAAGAAACTAAACAGATAACAAAAATAGGAGACATAATAATGCTAATTAAACTTGTAATGGAGAAAGTATAATTAATGTAATTAGTGCCTATGCACCCCAAATAGATAGGAATAATATATTAAAGAACATCAAGGCTTAAACATTCATTTAAAACATTCAACAATGATCTTCATGATCTTCACAAACGATCATAGTTTCATTTAATTATTGATAATTTTATATATCTCAAAGCATCTTTATAGAACATATTTTTGTAATCTGTTAATAAATAAAAATTTATTAGTGACAACATTTAAATAGAGGTGTTCAAGTCTCCTTTGCTGTTGATATGGATTGTTGCTGAGATGGGTGGAGTCTATGGTAGCATGGGGCTGTTCTATTTTGCTTTTGATAAGACCTACTATTGCTGCTCTGTCTTGGTGTTGTTTATTATTGCTGTTTGTTGATCTATACTACTGTGTGGCTTGATGATTCTCAGTAATGGAGGATGAATGCTCTATCAGTATTGTTTAGTTGGTGTCCATTAACAGAAGCTATGTTTAATTGTTTGCTTAGCACCATCAGTTGGCTATTTATGTGAGTGGCTGCTTATTTGTCTAATTGGATGATTTTGTGATATGGAGTTAATGGGGGATGCTAGTGTTCTGAAGCTGTTCTGAGAATACACCTACTTAACCATGAGCCTCTTTTTTTATGTGGAGAGGTTTGATGAGAAGTACTAATTGTGTTTTTAAGGTGTATTTTCTTTTTGTTGTACCAAATCATTATTGTCATACTTAGTTTATTTACAGCTACTGTGTCTTGAACATAATATTTCTCCATTTTATGTATTTTCCATCTGCATAAATGGAAATTTTAAGAGATGAGCAAAAGGTAAACTACGTACCTAAGAAGCACATTATCTTTAATGCAAACTTAGCAATCTTTTTCTTGTATTTGTGTAGAACCGTTCAATGTGTAAAAAAAGTTACTTATATTGCTTTTATGATTTCGCTTTAATTAATTGCTAACCAGTCAATGTTATGTCTTTAAAACAGTGCCTACTAGACACCCTCGTGGCTTGACACGCGGGTTGAAGGTTCAAGCAATGGTTCAAAAAGATGGAAAGCTCAAAGTTACTATACCACAGGAGTATCGTGCACTAGTGGGGGATCATGCCTCTCAATTAGTCTCCAAAATTGGTGTTGAGGTCCGAACACACTTGCCAGACTTTAGCATTCGCAGGTGGAAACATGTCAACGAAGAAGTTACGGCACCTATGTTTCAGCGTCTAACGGTAAAAGTTTTACATAATTGATTGAATTAATGTAATATAATTAATTATGACTTACAAGATTTGTGGCTGTTGCTAGGATCAATTTGACATGGAAGGCGACTCCACAAATGTTAGCAAAGCGGTGGCAACAAAGTGTGGACGGAGCTTGAGCAGCTACACCTACAGACTACAAAAAAAATACCTGAACCTTAAAAGTGCTAAGGGAGAGGAGTATGCTAGAAGCCACCCACCGCCTGAATGTGACCTCGAGAAATGGAAAAACTTGATTGACAAGAAGTGGAATGATGCCAATTGGCTGGTAAACTTTTCTTATGTTTATTTATTGTTGACAATTACCTTGTCTTCCTAATATATATATTTTTCTATTGGAACTTCCTCCTTGTAGAAGCAATCAAATGCTAACATTGACAATAGAAATCAATTGAAAACGAAGCATAGATGTGGGTCAAAATCTCTCCCAGTTAGGGTACACGAGGCGGTGGGTCTTCTTTAATTTTTTTTTCGGTTTTTTTTTTTAAAGATGATTCTACTACCATCATTCTTATTTAACTTACTAGTTGAACAAAAAAAAATCAGACAATTGCAAATGGGGGCCAACTGCCAGAGTTGCCATGTGTTTACAAATCTACACACTTTAATGATGTCACAAAGCAGTGGATTTCTCCGGAGTGCGAAGAGAATTATGTATATATATTTACCTTTTGTATTAGGATGATTGCAATTTTAATTGTATCTTTATTCATTTTTCTAATTTTTTTTTTTAAATGACAGGATAATATGATAAAGATCCAAGCTGAACATTGCTCCCGACCTGGTGTGGTTCCAATTACTCCGGAGGAGCTATCTGTGAAGGTGCTAAAGCCAAGGTCGGGATATGTTAAAGGACTCGGGTTGAGGCGTTCCTTCTCTGTCAGGACTACCAGCGCTTCGACTGACAGTGACTATGTGAGGCGTCTACAGATGGAAATACAAGAGCAAAAGGAGCAAATTCAGTCACAAAAAGAGGAAATTCAGTCACAAAAAGAGGAAATTCAGTCACAAAAAGAGGAAATTCAGTCACAAAAAGAGGAAATTCAGTCACAAAAAGAGGAAATTCAGTCACAAAAAGAGGAAATTCAGTCACAAAAAGAGGAAATTCAGTCACAAAAAGAGGAAATTCAGTCACAAAAAGAGGAAATTCAGTCACAAAAAGAGGAAATTCAGTCACAAAAAGAGGAAATTCAGTCACAAAAAGAGGAAATTCAGTCACAAAAAGAGGAAATTCAGTCACAAAAAGAGGAAATTCAGTCACAAAAAGAGGAAATTCAGTCACAAAAAGAGGAAATTCAGTCACAAAAAGAGGAAATTCAGTCACAAAAAGAGGAAATTCAGTCACAAAAAGAGGAAATTCAGTCACAAAAAGAGGAAATTCAGTCACAAAAAGAGGAAATTCAGTCACAAAAAGAGGAAATTCAGTCACAAAAAGAGGAAATTCAGTCACAAAAAGAGGAAATTCAGTCACAAAAAGAGGAAATTCAGTCACAAAAAGAGGAAATTCAGTCACAAAAAGAGGAAATTCAGTCACAAAAAGAGGAAATTCAGTCACAAAAAGAGGAAATTCAGTCACAAAAAGAGGAAATTCAGTCACAAAAAGAGGAAATTCAGTCACAAAAAGAGGAAATTCAGTCACAAAAAGAGGAAATTCAGTCACAAAAAGAGGAAATTCAGTCACAAAAAGAGGAAATTCAGTCACAAAAAGAGGAAATTCAGTCACAAAAAGAGGAAATTCAGTCACAAAAAGAGGAAATTCAGTCACAAAAAGAGGAAATTCAGTCACAAAAAGAGGAAATTCAGTCACAAAAAGAGGAAATTCAGTCACAAAAAGAGGAAATTCAGTCACAAAAAGAGGAAATTCAGTCACAAAAAGAGGAAATTCAGTCACATAAAGAGGAAATTACAGCACAGAAACATGAAATTCAAGTACAAAGACATAATAGATACATAATGCATCTC